ATATATAATAATTAATAATATATATTTTTATATACATAAAATATATATGTGTAATATATATTAATCCATATATATATGGATTAGTGGGGGATATATGTGTATATATATATATATATATGGCTCTGAAGCTTAATTAGCATTCACCACTATAATTCCTTCAGAATTCTGTGAGAAGTATATACTAGGGAAAATATGTCTCAAGTTTGACCATGAACCCATTTCTTCCTGATGGTGAGGAAGAGCTGCTTTGTAATTTTCTGAAATAAATGTGCTTTAGAGAGAATCAGGTATTGATATAACATAAAATGTTGAGTTTATACCTAGTCACATTGCAGAAAAACTGCAGGAGAGGGTGGGAGTGGGGCATGGAGGAAAGCTGAGAGCTAAGGACTAAATGGGACTGTGTAGTCATTAGCTACTTGGGAAATAGTTCTATAGCTATATGTAGGATTCATATGGGATTATATGGATTGGCACTATTTTCAAGTTGTGTTTTCCAGCTCAAAACTCTGTGATAAAACAAAATGATGGAATATTTCAAAACAATCATGAATGCTTTAAAAATTAGCCACACGGGCACCTGGGTGGCTCAGTTGGATAAGTGGCTGACTTCAGCTCAAGTCATGATCTCGCGGTTCAAGTCCCACGTTCAAGTCCCACGTTCAGGCTCTGTGCTGACACCTCGGAGCCCAGACTGTCCTTTGGATTCTGTGTTTCCCTCTCTCTCTGTCCCTCCCCTGCTTGTGCTATCTCTCTCTCAAAAATAAATAAACATTAAAACATGTTTTTAATTAGCCACACAAATATATTTATATTTTATTATAGCAAAGACAAAATGGAATTTTGAGAGAAAAAAAAACATTTTTATTCAGTCCTATACCCACCTAGATATATCCATTTCATCTTTCCTAGGCTTTGCTAGAGGTTGTTAATGACCTATTTGAAGAACAGACTGACCTGGAGAAAATTGTCAAGAAAATAATGCATCGGGCCCAAACTCTGTTGAAATGTGAACGCTGTTCTGTTTTACTCCTGGAGGACATTGAATCACCAGTAAGTCATTTTTTATCTGTCACCTAGAGTTGCAGACTGCATTAATGGAATAAAGTGTAGTTTGTTTGTAATTCAGCTTGTGAAATCATGACTCGAACCACTCCCTTCATGACTCTTCTAACCATGAGATGGCTTTTTATAAAATTAAAATTTTTTAATTTCTTTTACATGTATTTTCAGTCTTGTGTTGCATCATCTTAGAAACATGGACTCTTAGGTTGGTGGGGCCCTTAGAGGTCTATCCCAGTCCCGAGTATTTACAGATGAGGGAACTGAGGGGTTGGATGGTTTGCCCTGTCCCTCCCAGATGCATAGACATTAGCTTAGGTGCCAGGCTCCTATCGTATTCACCCAGTGCGAAGAAGGCCCTTGGCATCTATGGGTGTGGATTGCAGTCCAGATGATGCTCCACAGTCCTCTTATCAGGAGGAGGAAGCAAAAAAAATGCTGGAGAAGCAGTGCCTTTGCTTTTGGAGCTCGGGCAGATTGTACTTGAGCTGAGTGGAGTGACAAGCCTCAGTTGGGCTGTGCTCTGCAGCAAAGGTCTGAACTGCAGTCTCCAAGTTCTCTTACAGTTGCTTTGGAGCTGGGGACACTTGCACAGAACATGGGGCAGGTGGAGGAGGCTCCCTGCTCTTCACCGCAGGGGGTCCTGGTACTCCAAAGGCAAGTGGCAAGCTAGTTCAAGGCCTCAGGTCTGCAGCACCTCAGCTGTCAGGTTTCTGTTGAGCCCTTTGGCTCTTTGGGGGAAAATCCACTGGGTAAACACACAACAGTATTGAAAATAATGATCATCATCAATCTAACTTCTTGAAAGTTAAATGTCTAAACCCTTAGCAGCAATTTAATATCTTTACTGTGAACTGTCTTCCAAGACCAGGAATTGTCTAGCTATTTAAGTGCTGTTTTAATACCTCAGAGGATGATATTTTACTGTACTTAGAAGAGGTTATTATCTTTGCCTTTAGGTTTGTTTTCTTCAAAGAATAAGAACCTTAGGGTAAATCTGGGAGATTTAATAATAAGTATTGTAAAATTTCAACATGAAGTGTGAAAAAAAATCTATATTTGTTTAAAATGTTTAGGGGTGTGGGGCGCCTGGGTGGCTCAGTGGGTTAAGCGTCCGACTTCAGCTCAGGTCACGATCTCACGGTCCGTGAGTTCGAGCCCCGCGTCGGGCTCTGGGCGATGATGGCCCAGAGCCTGGAGCCTGCTTCCGATTCTGTGTCTCCCTCTCTCTCTGACCCTCTCCCGTTCATGCTCTGCCTCTCTCTGTCTCAAAAATAAATAAACGTTAAAAAAAAAATTTAAAAAAAAATAAAATGTTTAGGGGTGTTTGCCTATAATTTAGCAGAGCTGGGGGTTATTTCTATTTTAGCAAGTGTGGATTAAACAAACAATAACCTTGCCATTATCCTGTGATTGTGTAAAACTCAGTGGAACTTTGGGAGGGGACACACACCACACACACACACACACACACACGACCCAATAACCTATATGGAATGCTTCCAGATGCTTTTGTGAATCACTTGAGTTCACTTACTTCCCCTTCATCCTTATGAAACAGGCATTATTATCATCTCAGTTTATTGAGCAGGAAATAAGGCTCAGACGGTTGAGTGGCTTGCTGGAGTCCTCCCTCCCCACCCCACCCCCTGACTCTGAAGCCTCAGAAAGGAATGGGGGTGGGGGGCTGGTGGTGCTTGTTGGTGCAGGCAGGCTGTAGGCTGTCACTAAACAAAGGCAGGAAGAGACAGCTGTTGGGGCTTCGGCTGCCAGGATTCCCTGAACCACCCCCTGGGTCCCTGTGAGGGCAAGTGGCTGGAGGGCCAGGTGGAATCTGGACAAGGACAAGCTCACTGTTTGCTAGTTCAGTTGTAAACAGACCTGCAAGTAATCTAAAACCAGCTGAGGGTGGCCACTCTTGCTAATCTTTTAACAGAGACTGGTTTTTGTGCTGTGGCCTTGCTCTTCAGCACATCAGATGAAAAAGTACAGATGACAGAAGTGGATATGGAAGGTGGGGATAGAGCTGGAAGGAAGAGTAGGAACAGTGTAGGGGGTGGGTGTCAAAAACCACTCTGTGGGGCGCCTGTGTGGCTCAGTCGGTCAAACATCTGACTCTTGATTGCAGCTGAGATCATGATCTCACAGTTCGTGAGTTTCAGTCCCCATTGGGTTCTGCACTAACAGCACAGAGCCTGCTTGGAGTTCTCTCTCCCTCTCTCTCTCTCTCTCTCTTCCCCTCTGCCCCTCCCTGCTTGCATGCTCGCTCTCTCTCTTTCTCTCTCAAAATAAATAAATAAACATAAAAATCCCAACTATCTATAGTAGATGGTGTCAGCATTAAAGGTGTTGATATATTACTGAAAGTTAAAAAGACTTTTTTGCTACCACAGCTGAAAATTCTCAGACTGTAATGGTGGGATTAGAGCAGAAAATTCCAGGCCACTCTACACGATTTCTTCTCTTTGCCCATCCCCTCCCCTTGAAAGTGAGGATGAGCTCCTCTAATCTAGAGGGCCAAGGTCTAGAGGTAAAAGTCAGCTATGTGCAAAAAGAGGAGACTAATCTGCTTGGTACTGTTTTAAAAGCTATAAAGAGTTTTTGACAAGGGACTGCCTGGGTTGCTGTGGGAGGGGTGAAGGCAGGAGTGAGGTTATATACATGTGGGTCACCAGGTAGAAACCCCATCAGTGCCATGCTCTTCTTTAGCACACTTCCCACCAAAGACTTCTCAAAACGTCAGACTCCCCCTGGTTGTGTGATAGCAGTTACGGGAAGGACGCCAGACACGGTCATGCCAAGTACAGAAGGAGAAGCCAGACCGAACTGGTACCAGGTGCCAAAATCTGATGCTGCACAATTCAGCAAACAAAAGCAAGACTGTGCACTCAGGGCTCACGAGGCTGGCCTCTCCCAACAGGTATCTTGGTTGTGAAGAACATTTTAACCTTAAATTTTTTTTAATGTTTATTTATTTTTGAGTGGGGAGGGGCAGAGAGAGAGACACACACACACACAGAAAGCGAAGCAGGCTTCAGGCTCCCAGCTGTCACACAGAGCCCGACTCGGGGCTCAAACTTGGGAACAGTGAGACCGCAACCTGAGCTGAAGTCAGATGCTTAACTGACTGAGCCACCCAGGCACCCCAGGAATATTTTAACTTTAATGTGTCAAGTTTATCAATTTCCTTTTTGATTTGTGCTTTAAGAGTTTTGTTTAAAAAAATTATCTGCCTCCATGTTATAATAACATTGTCTTATATTTTCTTTAACCCATCTGGTATTTATGGTCTTCATATCCATCTAGAATTTATTTTTTGTGTATAGTGTAAGGCCCTATATGTATAACCCATTGTGTCACCCCCCCCCCCACACACACACACTCTGTAATGACACTTCTGTATTATATAAAGTTTCCATATATACCTGGGTCTGTTTCTGAGCTCACTAGTCTATTTCTGCACCAGTATCATACTGTCTCGGTTTCTGTAATTTCGTAATACACTTTGATATCTGAGAACAAGTCCTCAGTGCTGTTCTCTTTAAAATCGGCCTGCTTATTCTTGGCCTGTTGCTCCTTAATATAAATTTTAAGAGCAGGTTATCAAGTTCTGTGAGAAATTCTTTATAGACTGATTGAAATTGCTTTAATTTACATACCAGTTTGGGCGATTTCTGCAAGTAATACAATATATAAGGGGAAAATGGCTTAAACAATGAGAACGTCTGTGTCTTATATGAGAAGTCTGCAGGAGGTGGCTGCGGGTGGTGCAGTAGCCTGATGATCTAATCAGCAAGGTAGCTCTGTCCACTTTCCTGTGGATGTCTCAGTGCTCGACTGGCTTTCATCCTCATGATCCAGGAGGCTGGCCCAGCTCCAGGCAGTATGTCTTCATGTAACTGTGTCCCAGGAGAAGAGAAAAGGAAAACTTCTGTTCATGTTTCTTTTTCTCAGGGAAGAAAGTCTTTTCCAGAAGAGGTTTCTCCAGCTGACTTTCCCTCGAGATCCATTGGTTGAGAACAAATCATTCATATTCTTAATATTTTTCTGTTCTTCCCCTTTCATTCTCTGATACAGGTGTGTTCAAATATTCGGCATAACTGGGATTTATCAGCATCTTCTTGTCTGATTCTGTAGGTTGTCGATTAATAGGAACCGTTCATGTGTTTTTGAATTTGGGATTGGAGCTCATTTTGATGAGAGGGTGTTTTGTTTGTTTGTTTGTGCCATTGTTTTCTTTGGTTCTCTCTTATACTCTTCCCTCCATGTCTAATAGTCTGTGCAGTTCCTTGGCCTCTAGTCAAGAACCAGGCCTTATGTCGGGTCTCCTGCTGTGTGGTAATATCACACTAAGCCAGAAGCAACGTGGTTCATTTTCTGGGGGTAAAGATAGGTCACCTGGTTCAAGGGAACCTTTTTAGTTCCCCAACCCCAGTAGAAGCTGAAATTCCGATCATTGCTGCCTGCCTGTGTCTGGATTTGGGGTGCAGTAGGCCTGTCTTCGGGCTTGGCCCTTTAGAGATCTTTTCTTTTCCTTATACTCTGCCGTCCTGCCCTTCTCTTTTTTTCTGCTTTTTAACCTCTACATGTCTTTCTTGTTTTCTCTTTCTGTATTTTATCAATCTTTGCTCTGTTTTGGGAAGAGAACAGATGTGTCAAAACATTTAACTTCTAGACATCTCTACTGGCAGTCCATATACTACTTTTACAATCGGGGGAAAAATGCATCATTTCAGGAAAAAAAAAATTCTGCTTAAAGTTTCCTTTGTCTAAAAATAAATTTTGCTTTTCTCTATTTTATTAGAATCATTCCTGGAAACAAAGCTTCTAATTGTTGACTTGGGATTTGAATATTTAAAAAGCTGGTTATTGCAGATGTATGCTACTTCCTGGCCTTTTCTTCATTTGCGGGAAAGAGGAAGAAAGAAAATTGAAATCTAGTTATAGATGCTTTGATTCATCAAGCTTTTAACTCAATGTTTAGAGATGCC